AAAAAAAGGATTTGGCGCGCCAGAGCCCCGAGCCCACAGCCTGCGCAACTCCGCCCACAGTCTCGCAGAGCCCAGAGCCCACAGTCTGGCAAGTGCGAGGTTTTGGAGCGTCTGAAGCGTCCAGAATCCAGAAGCTGGCTGCTCCAACGGCCAGTATGGCCCACAGTCTGGCACAGAGCCCAGAGCCCACAGTCTAGCAAGTGCGAACTTTTGGCGCTTTTGCTTTCGGGCCCAGAAAAGTAAGGATTTGGAGAGCTCAGGTTCCACACCTTCGGTGGTCCCAGGCGCCGCCCCTGCCTTCGCCAGAGCAGGGGTCGGCGGATAATGTCCGAACTTGGTTGCTTCAACTCTTTGCCAAGAAGCAGGGAAGCTGCTTTCGTTGTAAGACCCCAACGTGACTTTGCTTTCTGCGACCAGTTGCGCATGGCACGAATGGCTTCTGCGCAGTTTGCTCAGGCAGGGAGTGCCCCAGTTCTTGATTCAGTTTCTCAGTTTGCGCTATTGAGCACTCCAGCATCACTCTGAAATGCAGTCCCACTGCACTGCTGCAGTGCATACACGCTGTAGCATACTGTGGCTATTTCGTTGCTGCTTTCGCTTTCATGGCACTGACCAAGAAGACAATCTAGTTTCTATATTTATTCTCACATTAATTGGAGGCCAAAAAGCCAGAGATGATAGGAATGCCTGACCCTCGAGGGAGCCTCAGTAGCTTTGCTGCCAGCTGTGGGGTGAAGCCATTTTGGCGTCAGTGCCTACCAGTGGCGCCTACCAGGCCCTGTACCAGGCATGAACCAGGTGGCTGGTCTTCGTTGCTTCCAGCCCTGTGCGTTAAGGTTTGAAGGGATCTGCGGCAAGTTTGGGGAAGAATCAGCCTGTCAGCCAAGGCGCTCAAAGTCAAAAGTGCTGACATTGTTGCGTCGACATCTTCTCACACCTCCATGAGACAAGCGAGACAGCTGTCAGGCTATTCCCAGTCCTCCAAGCGAGTGGGTCAAGGCAAAGGTGGGAGGGAAGGTTTGTTGTGCTGAAGCTACTAGTAGCAAGTGCATCGCTACTAGTAACAAGGGCATCGCTACTAGTAACAATAAAGCTTAAGTTTCCTGCGTCCATACTAGTAGCTTGAGTAAGCTACTACCTAGCAGCTAGCTACCTATCTCTAGCTAGCTACCTCCTAGTGGCCTACCCTGGCGGGGCTTAACAAAAATCCTGGCCTTACTGCTAGTAACGAAGCTACTAGTAGCAAGGTGCTATGCTGAATTGTTGGAGCCGGTGAGGACATGCCTAATGATTGTGACCGCGACTGTGCTATTTCTGTGGATGGCTCAGCTTCCATCACCGAAAGAGGAGGACTAGTAGCTTCTTGCTCCTAATAGCGGTGCCCTTTGTTACTAGTAGCTTCTTGATTCGTTTCAGGATTTGTTTTTCTTAAAAACCAAGATGGAAAGGGAGGACAGCTCAATAGGTCCAAAGAACATATCGGGTATACGAGCGGCCGGTCTGTTCAACTCGTCCAGTGCGAAAATTCAGAGCCACCAGACATGCCCACAATCAACGCCGCCTCGAATGCGAAGACCTGATTGGTCGCCGTTCTGTGCCACGATGGAGTGGCTGACTCTACGAGCCAGACCTGGCCACGCAATGGGGAAGCCAGGAACAGCCTTGACGCCCTGCAAGCCTCAAAACCTCAATAATCTTGACAGAAAAAGAACAACCAGGCACGATGACCAGCAAAAGTCAAGAGTAATTCCTCCTCAGGGTTTCTTTGGCAGCAAGGGAGTCAGAGTGCCACCTATACTGGGTGCTTGTGTTACTGTAAGTCGAAGGTTCTTGTGTGAAGTCGATCGAAAGCGGTGTCCAGTTGCAGGAAAGCTGCACGGAAGCTGATTCTGTAGATGACCATGCTTTGATTTACATACTAGTTTGATGAACATCGGTTGATGAGATTGTACACTTGTAGGGAGACAGGGCGCTCTGGTTTGTTTCTTAAGAGTTAACTTATGCTAAATTTGTTCTGCAATCTTTTCTCCAAATAAGGTGGTCACACTAGGGGTTCTCACGGTAAGTGTTAAGGCCGGGTGTCTGATCGAGGTGCTTGTCGGCGTGCGCGGCTAAGTCGCTGCTATTTACGGTACATTCATTCACTCAAGATCTTCGAAGTGCACTTTGACTGCGCGGGCTTGCAAAGCCTGCTGGTCTCGAGCGGGTGCATTTTTCGACTGTGCTCTCCTTGTGGTGCGCCTTTGGGATTTGGCGAAATTATTGAGATCCACACCGTCTGCCTCAGCCATGGGTCATAAGGGAGATTGGGAGATGTTCTTCAAGACATGCACAAAAAGCAACAACCAGCATTGACTAAGCTAGACTTCACACGATTCAGGTGTCCGGATGCGGCTTGATTGACTTTACGCGAGCATGACTGACATGACTAACACGCCCCGCCAAGTAGAGTAAACTAGATTGGCAATACCGCTCGACCAGGCCAATGCACACTTCAAGACTTGTTGGTTGAGGAAACATCGGCGGCTCCTCCCAAAAGGAAGCGCTTGATCAGTTGCACGGGCATGGCGAGTGCAAGAGATCGCTGGTTCATGTTCACACGCAGATATTGTTTCATTCCTTTGTTCCTTCTTTTTCTTTTCACTACTACTATACATCGTTTGCACAAATTCCCAGCCGAGAGCATCTCTGAGGTGATTTGGCAATTTAACGATGCCACTTCAGATCCTGGGGCCTTGCACTTCGAATGCAGTGCACAGAGTCCCGGGCGGGGCCACAGTGGTGCTCAAGAGGGCCGCATTGTTGGCATTTGTGCACCAGTTGTGCCCCATTGGTGTTTCTCAATTGTGAGACCTCTTTTGGGTATCACTTAAAAGGCAGAAAGTTGCCGTGTTTCCAAGCTGCTTCCAGGTAGCTAGGTATGGTCCGTGTCAGTCAATATTGAGCACTAAAGGTGCCGCAAAACCATTTGGGGAAAAAGAACCACTCGCACGCTACAGAGACTGGAGATGTTGAGGAGAACATTTGCTGGAATAGGTTTGCTGCGTCAAAGTGGCAAAATCGCGCCGTGATTCCAGCTTGCCTTTGTGGCAAGGCCAACATGCTCAACAAGAAGACTTCTGAGGTGCATTGGAGATGCTGAAGCTGCTTGAAAAAGAAACCACAGCATGGTGTGGAGGACCAGATTGCTTTGTAAGTGCAAGTTTCTGTCAACCGTGGGCAGCCTGCCTTTGGGCGGTCCTTGGCACACTGTTTGCCGATTAGGTTTCTTGCGACATATGGTTTTGCAATTGGTCAAGCCGTTTGGCACAAGCCCACAACCTTCCCGAAGTTCTATCCGAGACTGCAATTCACGCTTTTCAGGGCGTACTATCTTAGAGGCCTGGCCACTCAAAAGCCTTGGCCACAACTGTGCGAGGCGTCACCTCTTCAATTTGACATTGACTTGTGTTTGACTTTGGTCAGAAACAGTCATCAGGCCAGAGCCATGCGATACATCATGATGTTGGCTTGCTTGTGCCTAGTGCATGGCTTAATTGGCTCTTGGGTCACAAGTCAAGTGTTCCACTCCTATCCTGCACAGTCACATTGCTGCTCAGGTTGAAAGCGTACGACCTAGCCAGCTTCTCAAGTCTGAACCCCAAAACATTCAACTTCTTCAGAGTGCGGCTTGCGGAGGTTCTAGTGACAATGATCTTCTGCAGGACTGGACCTTTTCAACGGAAGGTGATATTCGCAAAGTTTGTAAAGCCCAGTGTGTTGTATAGAACGCTATGATCACTATGGACCTATGCTCTTGTACAATCAGAAGATTGAAGCTTAGATGTTGGCTTTACATGTTGATTGTGCCCACCTTGATCTCAGTCAAAGTGTTTTGCAAGTTTTTTGCAATCGCGACTTGCCAGGAGATGCAGCGTGCGCAACAATTGGGCTTTGAGTACCTGGAGCAGAAGCTGGGAACCCATGACTGAATTTTGGACATGCAAAACCGGTGTTGTCAACAGGTGTTGGATGTACTTCTCCTTTTTTCCTTATTCATCTATTTTCCTCATACTGTGGGCAATGGCCTCCAACCTAATGTCAGATGTTGGATTCATGTTGGATTCATGATGTAGTCAATGTAGGCTCTGTCTGGTGACTTCAGAGGCAAAGGGAGGCTTTTGTGGCTACAAAAGCGACGAGCCTCCTACAGGTGAGAGGAAGCCTGATGTTATTTGATGTCACAAGAAATCGTTTCAAAGGAAAGAAATAAAGGTTCAAAGAGAGGATCAAGAAACAGGGTCTTGAGGAACATGAACAGGATCCTACAAAACAAGGTCCTAACAAACAGGGTCTTTAACGGAAGATATATACGGTCTTGGTAGATTTTTCAGTGTTTCAGTTTCCTCAAATCGAATAAACATGTTGGCATTTGGTCATTCAATGGTGGTGACTCGTGGTGATGCAGGTGACTCGTGAAACCTCCAAAATGGATGACTTTCGCGGGGTCGAGGCGGGGGCGGAAAAACTCAAGTTTGCCACTCTGCACGATGGCCTTCAACCTAGGAGCAAGGACGCTACTAGGAACAAGTGCATCGCTAGTAGTAACAGGTGCCTTACTAGTAGTAACAAAAAGCTACTAGGGGCTCCTGGCCCTACTACTAGGAACAAGAAGCTACTAGGAGCAAAGGGCATCGCTACTAGGAGCAAGGACGCTACTAGGGGCTCCTGGCCTTATTACTAGGAGCAAGAAGCTACTAGGAGCAAAGGGCATTGCTACTAGGAGCAAGATGTCAAGAACTTCGAAGCTCTGAAATTCGGCATTTGGAAGGAACTTTCAAGCAACACTTCTGTACAGATATATATATATATAATCCTCATCAGGCTTCTGCATGTTCAATTTCTCTTTCCAGATTGCTTTTGGGATTTGGTTTTCCTTTTATGCAACTTGCCGATCTTGCAGATCTTGCTTGCAGATCTTGCTTGCTCTTTGTCCTCAGGCTCAATTTAATCCTTTCAAGCCGGTGGTCACCTGAGCTGGAGCGAAGAGACATCGAGAGACATCGAGTCAAAGAAGAGGAGAGAAGAAGAAGAAGAAGAGAAGAATGAATATGGAGAAGAATGGACTATGAAGATCGGTTATGATGCGATTGGTAAAGAATAACATTGCAAGATGTGGAGACTGAACTTACTTTTCATTCATTTCATTCTCGCTCTCAAGGACCCTGCACTCATGCGCCGATTCAATCCTATGTTGCTGGAGGATGACGATTGACATGAAGATGCGTTTTCAAGGTTCCAACCTTGCGGAACAGTTGATTTAGTACATGCCATGCACATCCGTGCACATTAGTTCAACAATTCATGAGGAGCGACATTTCCAAAAGATGTCAAGATATGACTTGCGCTGCCAATTGAGCGCAATCCTTGCAAAGTCATCCGCTTCTCAAATGTATTTTCTCTCTGTGTGGATTCTTGCACCATTCTGGTAGCCCCGTGCCAGCTGAACTCTAGCCTCCGCACAGAATTGGATGAGATACTTTGCCACTCCTACAGGAATTCAAAGGAGCATTCTTTCTTGCTCTTTGGTCTTGTGCGCCCAAAGTGCACTGAGCTTGCGAAGAGCATGAGAGAGTGCAAAAGGATTCTTTCTAGCCTTGAGCCGCTGTCTTCCCTGGTGTTACGATCGCTGGTTTCAAAGACATCGGAGCCTTTGCCGTGCCATTCGCGCCTTCCGGGAGTGTCCGCCAGCTGTGCACTGTACATTTTGTTGAGTAGCCGCTGAGTAGCCGTTCACAAGATATGTCAAGCACTTCTCAACAGATTTTTAACGATTGATGGTTGAGTTGGCGCCAGCTTTTTGGCTAAGTGCATATCTCAACCCTCCACTTTCCAATGTAAAGCACATCAAACCAGCATTCTTGTAATGACAATTTGGTTTGGCCCGGATGCTGGACCTGGAGTTGTATGTGTTGGACCAGTCACTTGGATGAAGCGAAAGCAGCAGCCCACCAAACACCGTGCTCAAAGATTGCTTCATATTTGTGAGGTTCGTGTGGAAAAATGGCGCAAACAGCCGGTTCGAACTTTGCTCTTTGGAGCAAAAAGTGAGAAGACAGAGGTGGGCTTCGAGCACACTGTGTATGGAGTCTGTGTCGTGTTGATGCACCTTGTGCGTGTGTTACCTCTTTGGCTAAGAAGCTGTTTCGGAATTTATCATTTTCAGAAGGTCGCCTGCGTTGCAATACAGTTTCTGTGTCCCACTTGCGATTAAAGGGTCGCCGCAACCAACTCTGGCAAGATTCTTTGATTCATTGGTTTGACACCTTCGGCTTGCAGGTCCGGCCGGGGCTTCAGGCTGCTCTTGGCGTTTCAAAAGGTTTGCCCTCAACCGGCAGCGACACGAGCGTGTCACTTGGCAGAGCATGCGCAGCACTAGTTTTCTGAGGCAGTGGGAGGCTGATATGGAAGCTAAGTAGTAGGAACTCCAACTAAATCCAAATATTGGGATGCAGGGAGGCAAAGTTCTTCAAACAAAGCTTCCTTGAAGATCCCTCAGTGACAGAAAGGGCTCCTTGGACTGAAAGCGCTCCTGTATGAGGGAGGACTAGACTAGGGCAATGCTTTCAGGATTGCATTTTTCGAAGGGGTATGTCTCAAGACTGGAGCGCACCCACATCCTTCATGCTGGAGATTCAGGTTTTGTGCCGGTGTGCGCCTTACCGAAGCTGCTGATGCAGCGGGCACAGATGCAGGTGTTTGGTGCTGCCCATGCGACGTTCGGGTGACACTGATGGGTGAGCGGCGCGAGCTTCCGCGCACGGTGCGGTGGATACTCACCCCGAGTTCCAGTGCCACTTGGACAGCAGACCACCTGGCTAAGCGGCTAGACATACTGCAAGCAAGCTGGAGAGCAGAACTTGAAGGTACTATTTAGGTGCTACCTAAGAGCGATGGCCTCCAACCTAGAAGTCATGGCCTCCAAACTGGAGAGCAGGTTTCTCCTTACTCAGTGCTCATCGAACTGAAGGTGTCTTTCGGGGTGTGAGACTTGTCGCAAGGTGGGGTGTTTTCCGGGTGAACGAGAAGAGATGAGTAACAATGTTCGCGCTGATAGAAACAAGTGCATCGCTACTAGTAACAAATGCCTTACTAATAGTAACAAGAAGCTATTAGAAACAAGTGCATCGCTACTAGAAGAGATGAAGAGAGTAGAGAGGAGAACCGATGAACATCGATGAGGGAAGCACGAGGGAAGCACGAGGGTGCTTGGCGGCTAACCAGTTAACTAACCCAACTTATTCCGCCGGTTGAAATGACCAAAGACAAGTGCAAATTGCTGATCACTGTGGTTTACTCCTCTTTGATCATTTAGCATTTCTTGAGTCATTGTGTGATTATCGTTGTGATTGTGCTGAGGAAGTGTTTTTTCCTTTGATGCCGCTGACAGATGTTGACCGCTTTGTGACCAGCAGTGGGGCCTTGAGAGTAAAGGCTGAGATTCTTTTCCATCTTTGCGCTGCGAAGGACTGTGAGCTAGGCTCAAAATCAGGGGCTCCTGGCATCGCTACTAGGAGCAATAGAAGCGATGGCGATGGCCTCCAACTTAAGAGCGATGGCCTCCAACCTAGAAGCGATGGCCTCCTATTTCAATGAGCGGTCATGGGATTTCAACATGCACGTGTTGCTCGAAAAACGATAATACACTCACCAAATCCTGATGACCTGAAACTCTTTTGGCCGTCCTTCATATGGAGAACTGCAAAGAGAGTAAGTGTGTGGTATATTATGTGCGTGGTATGTGCGTGTACCAGGACAGCAGCCCTGGCTTTCTTGGGGCGCCCAGCACTACTTTGACGGTGAGGTACTTAGCAGACGTAAAGCACCGCAAAGGCACAGACAGCAAGCCCTCTAGAGTTGAAGACTTGCAAGCAGATTCCGTGCGGACTTGCCTTTAGAAACAATATATGTTTGCTTGTTTCGTTGTTCTACAAGTTGCAAGTTTGCGTGTATTTGGAGGCCTTGATGTATGCATGGTGTTTGGCCGGCAGCGCCTGCATAGAGGAGGCGATCTCAAATACCTGTCGCGGCACATTGGGCAACACGGAGACAAAGGAAAGCCATTTGCACAAGGATGCCACCGTGCATGACTCATCCTTGTGCGTCTTCCGAGAAGCCGCAGAGTTCTGTGTGGACGCGGCCCGGCGCGTCGAGTTGGATCCGTGCTGTTGGAGAGCAGGACTCTTTGCGTCCAAAAGACGAGGTTCACCTGTTGAGCGCTTTGAGGTGAGAGGTGAAGAGCACACTTTTCTGCTGCAAGAGTTGGTGCCTGGGCTCTTCATTGGCAGATCTTCAGCACCTGAAAGTGACACAGAAGCTCTGCGAGATGCCGCTCCAACAGTGCATGTTGACCACGAGAAGAGTGACAAAAATGAGACAAGTGATTGTTTTTCTGAGGAAGGGATGGCTGGGATGGCCTTGGAGCTCGAAGAGCTTCAAATCCGACACATCGTGCGACTTTCCCAAGTTGCGCAGGTGGCGACGGGGACCCCGACAGGGAGCCTCATAGGGATAGAGCTCTACGAATTGAAGGAAGGTGGTGAGGGAAGAGAGGTGCGGCGGATGGAATTGCGAGAGATGCGAGAAGGTGAGGGAGAGAGTGAGGAACCGAGTGAACAGAGTCCTAGTCAGGTGAGAAAGCTACCTGTCATGGAAGCTGTCGACATGGCCCACGATCTCTTCATGGGGAACTTGAGTGACTCGGACTTGAGTAGAGTCAAGCAGGGCGAAGAGCTTGGGCTACGGCTACTGCGCAGCAATTTGCTTCTACTGCCCTCCACGTGTGAAGATGGAGAGCTGTGTACTACAGTAGCTGCAGGGGTCGTTGCTACGGCGTTTCAGCAGCTTGTTTGATGACGGTGACTTCGTGCCGTCGGTGTTTTGTTTAAACGGCTGTAAACCTCGGCGATTCACAGAGGTTAGAATGTGTAAACCTCTGCACTCAATTCTGCGTTTAAGGATGCCATTCGTTGAGGCTAAGCGATATCTTGGGAGCTACTGGGAGGTCCCGGCCAGCGACTCTTTGGATGTCAAGGATCTGGAAAGAGCCCATGGAGATCAGGAAGAGATTGAGCAAGAGAATACCTGTACAGTCAGAGATGAAACTTGCATACCCTCAGTCAAAGACCCGGGATGGCTGATCGAAGCCTTGAAGTGCCATGAGCGTGAGGAAAGCAGTCGAACTGTCAGCGCCAAATTTGCAAAATGGTTTGCGTCTGGCTCAGACTCTTGGACCGGACGCTGCTAGGGGCTCCTGGCCTCGCTACTAGGAACAAGAAGCTAGTAGTAACAAGTGCATCGCTACTAGTAACAAGGACCTTACTAGTAGGAACAAGAAGCTAGTAGAAACAATCAATAGAATTCAATTAGAATCTAATTAGTAGCAAAGAAGGCTACTAGGACCTCAGAGTCTTGGACCGGAGATTTGATTTCTGTTTGCTTGCAACTAGGTTGGAGGCCATCGCTAGTAGGTTGGAGGCCATCGCTAGGTTGGTTCTTGCTTGCTATGACTCACAAGAACTTCAACACGTTTTATCCGCTTGTTTCGTTTTGGGTTGCTGATGTTGCTGTCTCTAAGGGAACACGCAGTCTTTCCGGACCAACATTGGCTGCTGTGCAAAGTTGGAACCAAGCCTCGGTGATGTCTTCAGGGGAACTTTTGCCAGTTCCATGGTATTGCTTGCAGCCTCCCATCCCTGGTGACGTGTTGCATGTGCATGACACGGGTTGGGGAGCTGTGCCCGAGATTTTCAAGGCTACAGCAGCCACCAGATGGCAGATGCAGCTGCTTCAGAAAGAAAGCCACGGCCTCCAACCTAGAAGCGATGGCAGCGATGGCCTGCAAATCTCGGAGCAGACTTGGAACTCTTTGGTCACCCTGAAATTTGTTCATCGCTTGCCAGAGGATGAGGTGCTGGCAGTGCCGCATTGCTTTCAACTTGAGTCTCAGGATGTTCAATGGCATTTAGTCGCTTTAGTTTGCCAAGATCATCGACATCTAAAGAGCAATTCTACTTGCATCGAGGAAGGTCTTCACTCCATGCCCAAGCCACATAGAGTGACCTTCTTGCACGGCGCCAAAGAATGGCTCTTGGAAAACGGCTGTCTCCAAGAGCTGCGACGCCGGAGCCTACCATCTTCGATGCCTAACTCATGGCTTTGCACGCGCAGTTTGTCGCCGGAGGTCATTGTTTACATGAAGGGCAGACCCAGAGGCTCGCTGTACACCGCCAAGTCGGAAGGTATTCCTGCATCGTTGGCTGATCGCACTGCCTTCCGCGTTCGCATTGTGACCGAAAAGGCAGAGCAACGGAGTGTTGTGCTGGTCAAACACATTTGGTTGTGTTCTTTATCTCCAGATAGCTGGAAGCTATTATATATAAATTTTGGGTCCGTGTTTTTTGAAGACTTTGATCACAATTGTTGGCCTCCACACTGGAACCTTGCTCTCAAGGCCCCGCCCCCCTGATCGGAGCTTAGTGCTTCGAACCTTTGGACTCACGAACCGGGCTTTGATGGCAACTGTTTGCCTGGCTCGCTATTAGGTTGGAGGCCATCACTAGTAGGTTGCACCTTTGCCGGCCGTCCCCGTTTTTAAGCAGTAGACAAGGTAACTGAAGGCGTTTAAGGTACCCGAGGACTCTCTGCCCCGGCTGAAAGGGTTGATGTTTGATTTCATTTGTTCGAAGGCGCTGCAGAAGACCAGGGGAGACTTTGGAGGTGGCTCAGAGATCTTTGCCTCGGCAGTGCTTGGGCTGACCTCGGTTGGAAAGAAGGGCTTGAAGGGCAACAGCGGCGAGGACTTTCTGATGGATTTGAAGCATGAAGTCCATCGACAATTGCGAATCCCTCCGGAGAGACAGTTGTTGCTCCAGATCCCTGATGCTGCCGATGTGAGTCAGCCAGGTTTCAGAGACAGTTGGCTGCTGCCAGTACAGTCGATGGCCAGCTTGCAAGCTTCAGCGATATGTCACCGATGTTTCATGCTACCCACAGTGCTGCTGATGTTTCTTCCCAACGATGTGGACTCCATGTCTTCCATGCTCCAGTGGCAAGCACAAGGTCCTGAAGGTAGCGACAGTTCGAGTCTCAAGCGGGCACTTCCACCACTCATCCCCTTGCTGTGCAGATATTTTAGCCGCAAGACCATGACCCACAGTGTCTTAGGAGTTCTTCTGGCTGCGCCAACTGACACTCTTTCGCAGCATTTGCCTTGGCTTCAAAAGCGTATTGCTGTGAGTGGGGAAGAGGAGGTGAAGGCTGAGCCCGCTGAGACTTTTGTTCCTTTAGCGTGTTCTGCAAGTCTGGGACCAGGGCAAGAGGCACTTATCTCATCTTCAAGTTGGCTTCGACCCTTGCGAATGGACTTGCCTTTGGCGGAACAGCAGCTCGGCACTACCACAGCTGTCGACCAATCCCATTCATCCGGACAGCCACTTCACTGCGCAAGTCTGAGGCCGGTGAGCTTTGGAAGTGCTATTGACTTTGAAATTGAGCCTCGGCAACTGTGGTGTTTGTAATTAGGCATGAATCGTCTTTAGATCCGTTAGATTCGGTAGATGACCATCCATGCTGTTCTTAAGCCTCCACTTTGTCATTTTCGGCGCTCTCGGTGCTCCTGCACTTTGCTGAGCCTCATTTGAGGCAAGCTGCGGTCGTCGAAATATGCCGAGGGCATCACTGCCCAAGGTCGAAGAAGAGAAGCTTCGCACGCCACCTGCCGTTTTCAGATGTTTTCAGGGATCTTTGTCATCGCAGAGTAGGAATGATGCTTGAAAGTAGGGATTCTGTTGGGTAGATCATTCACGGAGCTTGGCAGGTTGGGTTGCCTGTTTTTGGACATTGATCTTCGCACGAAACCTGGATCAATCCGAAGCCAGGCGCGTTTTCTCATGCAAAACTGCAAAAGGAGCAGATGACATTGAACGTGACTTTGGACATGCTATTAGTAGGTTAGAGGCCATCGCTATTAGGTTGGAGGCCATCGCTTCCAGGTTGGAGGCCATCGCTTCTAGGTTGGAGGCCAACGCTTCCAGGTTGGAG